GTTCTGGAAGAGCAGCCAGTGCTCCTAACTGCTGAAAGATACTGATCCATCTCTCCAGCCTTTGTTTTTAACATCTCTTTAGAAATATATTGTTTGTTTATTTTTGGAGACAGATATCACTATATAGCTTTGGCTGGTCCAGAACTCACTCTGTAGAACAGGCTTTAAACTCACAGACAGCCACCTGGTTCCTGAGTGCTGGGATTAAAGTTGTGTATCAGATTTAGTTTTAATTATGTGTGAGTGTGGGTTTGTGTATGTATGTGCATTGTCTTTGGAGGCCAGAAGAGGGCTTCAAATCCACTGGAGTTGGAGTTACAGGTGGTTGTGAGTTGCCCTATGTAGGTGCTGGACCTGAACTTGGGCCCTCTACAAGAGCAGCAAATGCTCTTAACCACTGAGACATCTCTCCAGTGCCTCTCTGTATATCCTTATTTATTTTTACAAAATAGTATAGTTATACATGATCATATATATATATATATATATATATTTAAAATATTTATTCCTTTTATTTGTGCATGTGTGCCTGCCTGCACCGTGTGTGTGTGTGTGTGTGTAGGTGCCCACAGAGGCCAGATGTGGTTAGATTCCCTGGAGTTTGAATCACAAGAGATTGTGACCTGCTTGATGTGGCTGCTGGGAACTGAACCTAGGTCTTCTGCCAAGATCAGCAAGTGCACTGAACCAGCTCTGCAGCCTGATCTTAGGTCTTTTTTTCATAAGTAAACAAACAGTATTTTTTGGGCTCTTCCCATCATAGTACGGTACCCTAGTTAGGTTTCTTTGCTGTGATGAAATGCTGACCCGGAACAACCTGAAGGAGCTTACAGTCCATTATCTAGGGAAAACACAGAGGGCACTGCTGCTGCCTTGAACTCTGTGCCTTACCTAGCTTGCCTACCTGCCCAGAGGAGCCCCTGCCCAGAGTGAGCTAGGCCCTCCCCTATCGGCAGGCAAGAAAATGCCCCACAGACCAATGTGAGGAGGCATTTTTTCTCTCTGTATCGGTTCCCTGTTCCCAGGTGACTCTGGTTTGTGTCAGACTGATAAAAACTAACCAGCATGGTGTGTTTAGAAACTTTTTCATAAAATTTTGAAGGGCCTTATTTAATTATATTCCTTTGCTCAGTGGCCAGGTTCTTTCCCTTGTTGTATTTTATAATCTTACTTGCAGTGAGTTGGCAGATACATGTCAGGTACTTTGTGGCTGAGTCGGTACAGTGTCTGTCTTAGAGGTGGGCTTGAGAGAACATGGCGGGTGTGAACCATGGCAGGTATGAACCATGGGTCATAGTCATTGTGACTAATGACTATTAATATTTAATAATGTTTATTAATATTGTAAACATTTATTAATCCTAATGGGCTTTTTTCCTTTCTTTTTTTTCTCAAGTATGCAATATATTTAATGGATTAAAACATGTTTCCCACCTACATACCCAGAAATATAAACTAAATTTATGACATAAAAATACAGTGAAGCAGACTATATATATTTCCTAAGCTTGTGTATCACATTAGCGAAATAAAGTACTATAATGGGCATATTACTAGGAGAACATTTTTTTCAGGTTAAACTATACTACTTTTTGTGGTTACTAATTTATAAGCTGCACAGTTCCTCTTTTTTGCATTTATTTATTTATTGCAATTTATTCACTTTGTATCCCAGCTGTAGCCCCCCCTTTTTTTTCCTTTCTTCTTTTCTTCTTCCTTCCTAACTTTTTCTTTCTTTCTTTCTTTTTTTTTTTCAAGACAAGGTTTTTCTTTGTAGCCTTGGCTGTCCTGGAACTTGCTCTGTAGATCAGGCTGGCTTCAAAGTTATAAAGATCCACCTGCCTCTGCCTCCAAGTGCTGGGATTAAAGGTGTGGGCTTAATGAGCTTTTCTATGATCCAGCTAGTTCTCCAGTAACTGATACTGAGACTTGTCGATTTTTTTTTTTTAGACAAGCTTTAAGCAGAATAACTGGGCAGTTACAAGTTAAACAAACTAATTTTCTACACCGATCTGGCTACCTCCCCACTGTGCTCTCCAAGTTACTTGCCAATATGTCGTCCTGTCTGGGCTGGATATGCTCCATCAGGCCATGTTCTTTCTCTCCATCTTTTTCTCCTTCTTTCTCCTCATCTCTCTCTCTCTCTCTCTCTCTCTCTCTCTCTCTCTCTCTCTCTCGTGGTCCCTTCCTGAGACCCCAAGCCTGGGAACCAAAGCTACGCCCACTTCTCTACTGCCCAATTACAGGCTGTCCAGCCTCTTATTTAACCAAACAGAGAATATTGGGGGACAAAGTTTTACACAACATCACTCAGTGTACATGAGACTCATCTGGATGTCAACCAGATCTTGGGGCTCAAAATTTAGCATTTATATACATAGCACCAGACCAACTCCCAACACAGCCCATTTCCTACTATGAGGTCAGGCACAGCCTCTGGCCCCAGGGTGTAAGTCCCCAGAGCTTCCCTCCAGCTGAATACTTGCCAGTGGCTTAGCAGGGTTGTGTTGATCCCCACCTGTCCCTCCAGACAGCCAGGAGCCCACTGAGACTCCCTTGTGCCATTTCTACCTCCAGATAGTTTTCCTGGGTGTGAAAATTAAGAGGAGTTTGTTTATCCAGAGTCCTGTCAGTTTCTGCATCCTTGCCAGCATCTTGAAGCCATTCTCTTCAGACACTGATCTCCTTTGGCCTGTGACAAGAAATGAACATACAGATGTTATTCTGCAGAATGGCAGAATCTTTTCTGCTCACCTCATAATCATGAGTTTCTAGGGAGGTACCTGCTCGCTACTGATTGGCTGCGTTTTGTCATGGCCAGGGGTTCTTTCATCAGCTGTCCCATTGCTACCCGCTGCCTTAAGGTGCCTTCTTGACTTGCAGAATGGGCTTTAGTGCAGAGAGGGTCCCAGCAGACAGTATCAGAGAAAGACTTTCTAGGTCTGGAGATGTCCTTCAGAGCTCTGTGCTGTGTGCACTCACCTATGAGTGAGTATTCGAGCCTATAGCAAGTGTACTATTTGTTTCGTTTTTATTTCTCCACTCTGTAGCTGTTCTCTGAACCTTTCCCCCCTTTTCTCTCCTTTCTTCTGTCCCTTCTCTGGGCACCTATCCTTTGTCCCCATTTCTGGGTCATCTGCCTCCACCCATATCATTCCTTGTTTCCTGTGTGTTTGCCCTTATAGCTGTCAGGCTCCGGGCTCACTACAGATAACATGTGGTCGGTTCAAAGGCACTGTGGTAGAGTGATTAGCAGGGCAGTGCTGGCTATACATCAAGTGGGAAGCTGTCATTGCAGACGGTGGGCAGCATTTGGGCAGCTGATAAAGAAGTTCTTGGTGTATCAGGGCTGTCTGTCTCAGAAGCCCTTCATTTGGGTCTCGAGTGCTTAAACCTACTGGAGTCGGTTCCTGTAGCTTTCTCAGCCAGTGGAATTGATTTTGTCTGTAGCAATGGTTATCATAGCTTGGTTTTCCTGACTATAAATTGGGGGTGACAGCAGTTGCTAAAGGGGGTTATATAGTAGTGAAGGGTAGGGAAGCTAAGGGCCCCAAGTAGTTGGTTGTGTTCTCATTGGAGCTGAGGAGAATGGTTTGGGGTTAGGGTGCTAGCCTTGTGGGATGAAAGTCAGCTGCCCCATGGAACACTCTGTAGGCTGGGTCAGTCCAGTGGTGCTCAGGCTGAAGGGTCGGGAGAGGGGTCAGAGTCCTTGTAGGAGGCTCCCCTGTGCTGGGTCCTACATTCCTGGTTCAGCTCATCCGGGTCCGAAGCCCAGTTCTGGAGTAAATAATCCAAATTATCTCCATTTGACATTCTGGAGAGGCTTTGGGAAAGGTTTGTGGAATAGAGCAGGAGCTGCCCTCCTCAGCCTGGTTTTGGCTCTTGTGGTATCGTGGCCATTTGGTAAAACTGCTAGGCTGGCCAGCAAGCCTTGGTAGCTTAGCAGTCTTCATGACTCAGGCAGGCTAGGAAGAGGAACCACACCTTAGGTCCAGCTGGGTCAGCCAAGATTCAGATAGGCAGGAGCTGGCTTTTCCTAGAACTTTAAAAGAGCTCACTGGCTTTCAGCTGTCTAGTTCCCTTTGAGGCTTGCTTCTGGAGGGAGGCCGAATAGACAGACAGTTCCTGGAGTCAGGACTGAAAGCTTAGAGCTCAGCCTCGGCTCACTGAGGTCCCTTGTGGTCCTATCCCAGATCATAGAGTCTGTCTTCAGGCACATTCCAAAAAGATCATGAAGGTGGGTCCAGCAGGTTAAGAGCTAGGTACTGAGGAAGCCAGGCCTCCTGGGTAGTCGGGGGCAGCTGTAAGCCATGCTTATCTTCCTGCTGCAGCCAGAGAGCTGTCTGCACATGTGCTCTAGATGAGTGGACCTAAAGCCAGCGTATTTTCTATTGAGAAGTGATTGCTGTCCTTGGGCTGGCTTCTTTTCTATAGGACAAGGACATCAGAGTAACTTTTCTTTGTCTAATGATGGGGAACATGGGAGACAGCTCTTAATTCCTCTTTCCTGAGGATGCCAGAGTACCCATGACTTCAGCTGAAAGCCACTCAGGATAGCAGAAATACTGACTGGACTGAGCTGGCTTCCTGATGGGAGCAAGGCAGATGCTAGGCTACCCAGTAGACTGAGTCCCTTATGCTGTCCCTGGAGAGTCCAGGGAAGAAACCTTGCCCAACCCAGCCAGCACAGAGCGTAGCCCTGGGATAGCCCATGGACAGCCAGGCTGGGCGTAGTCAGTCCTCCTGGCTGTTGTACTGTTTGCCCTGCACAGCCCTTTCTGGAAAGGATGGGTAAGGGCCTGAGAAACCCCTTGTCCTATTCTTCCCTAGGTGTGTGTGGAGGAGTAGGCTAGAGCACCCCCCCCCCCCCAAGGATATGTTGTTGACTTTCAGTGTGCTGTGGGCAGAAGGTGGGTCCCACACAGGCCTTCCCTGGAGCTCTCCTGCCTCTCCTCATAAGCTGACCTTGATGTGTTTCCTTATTCATATTTACTCCTCAGGTGTGTGTGACGCCCGGAAGGGGAGGCTCCCCTGAGGAAATATTGACAGCCCTCCTGTCTCCTAGCTGCCTAGAGATTGTCACCTGTGGACGCTGAAAGCTGGAACCCTAGGACTGACCATACTCCCTGACCTTTGCTACCATAGCTTGTTCGACCTAGCTGTGCTGACTGAAAAACTAGCCATAAGGACTGAGGTCAGCCAGCATGGAAGAAGAGCAGAGGTTCCTAGGGGCTGCCAGGGGCTTGGTGCTGATTGGCCCTGCCCTCCATTCTCCTAGGCAGGGTGCCAGGAAGCTGGAACTTTGTTATCTGGGTAATTAGCTTCAGACCCTGGACTGAGGCCGGCCTGGTCTTAGGGCTACTTCCCCCAGGCTGTGCACCCTGACCCCAAGAGGGAGGCGAGGCGCTTTGTACAGAGGCCCTGCCAGCTGAACAGTTGAGGTGTCAGTCCTGCCTGGGGAACGGCTGCAGGCACACACCCCCCCCATACACCTTCCACTCCACCCCATGCCACACTGTCCTCCCTGCCCAGGCTCTGCCCCTTAGGGCAACTGGGCCTGGTCACAGTGTGGGGCCTCCCATCTCAGCCTTGCCAGGAACAGAGAGCACCAAGTCTTAGGAAGGGGATGCCCCCAAGGGTGCCAGTCCAGCCAGCTGCCCCACCCTTCAGGCTTGGCCTGCCCCCCCGAACCCAAATCGTGGTGCCCCAGACAGCCCTGTGGGCTAACATCCATCACCATGGCCGAGCACCTGGAGCTGCTGGCAGAGATGCCCATGGTAGGCAGGATGAGCACCCAGGAGCGGCTGAAGCATGCCCAGAAGCGACGTGCCCAGCAGGTAAAGATGTGGGCCCAGGCTGAGAAGGAGGCCCAGAGCAAGAAGGGCCATGGGGAGCGACCATGGAAGGAGGTGGCTGGCCTCAGGCCTCGGAAGCATGTCCTCTTCCCTCCCAGCGTTGCTCTTTTGGAGTCTGCTGCCCGAAACGACCTGGAGGAAGGTGAGTGAGTGTGTTTGAGTCTGAGGGCACAGCACAGCAGGCATTCCCATCTGTCTGGGTGTGGCCCTGCTAGTGTTGGCTCAGAGCTACGCCTAGAACTGCCTCCAGCTCCTGGCTCTAGCCACAGCTCTGCTACTGATAGTCAACTGTCCTTAATAGGGGTGCATGCAGGAGGTCTTCCTGTGAGGAAAGTCAGGTTATGGGAGGGCTGGACCACAAGTGGACACACTGGGAGTTGCAGAAAAATCTAGTACTTGGGCTGACAGCTATCACTGCCTCTTAGCAGAGTGTATGCTGTGAATCCCTTTCCCTTCATGCCTGGCTCCTGAGCCCCATCTCTGGACAGTGGGACAGCATTGCTCACTTCTGGTTAGAGATGGAGGGTGGGTGTTGGTCAGACCCAGTGTGGGACCTAGAGCACATATGGTGTGGCACTCCTACACACTTCCCAAGCCCTTCCTTTGGCTTTTCTCTCCTTTGACTGGAATCTTCTTAGTATGAAGCCAAGTCTAACTGTAGTAGGCCCTCTTTCCTTCCCTGTGCCCTATGCTTTTAACTTCTGGGGCCTGGAGGAAGAGGCACCTGGGATGTCTTGAGGACTCTTCCTGCCTTCCTTTCTTGCAGTCCGCCAGTTCCTTAGTAGTGGGGTCAGCCCCAACCTGGCCAATGAGGATGGCCTGACTGCCCTACACCAGGTAAGCTCCTGCAGGAGGGGGTGGGCCTGGCTGGCCTCACTGAGGCTGGGGGCGGGGCTGAGGTCGCTTGTTTGCAGTGCTGCATTGATGACTTCCAAGAGATGGCACAGCAGCTCCTGGAGGCCGGGGCTGATGTCAACGCTCGCGACAGTGAGTGCTGGACACCCCTGCATGCTGCAGCTACCTGTGGGCATCTGCATCTGGTGGAACTCCTCATTTCACGGTAGGACCTGCTGGGTCACCACGTGGTGGCTCAGGTAACCCCTGAGATTCTTCCTCTGTTAGCTCTACCTGGGAACCCGGAGGGAAGAGTTCACTGTGTTCTTTGGCCTGCCTGGCAGGCTAGACTTCCAACTCTGGACCAAGGGCCTCTCCACAGTAAAGTGCCATTTGGTCAGTGTTGAGGATGGACTTGGTAAGGAGGGACAGGAAATGAGGAGACCAGCTGTGTCTAGGAGGAAGTGCCTGTGTACAGGTGAGGCCTTTACCCCTAAGAGAGAGCAGAGGAAGCTAGTAGCTTCACTAGATTCAGAGACTTCTCCAGTAGGTGAGAGCACAGAAGCTTGGCCATCCTTGTCTGTGTGGATGAGGCTGTCACATACAGGTAACTTGGTAATGGATTAGGGGTGTATAGCGAGCAGGTCCCTGGGGCTCCTCTTGGAGTTGGTATTGAACTGCAGGCATCCTTCTGGTTCTGCATGGTGGAGGAGCACCCCTTCTGTGTCCTGGGGGTCCCAGAGCTCTTCCTTGCATATCGGCAAGTGCCTCTACTATCTTTCTGGGGGTAGATGGGTGTCATAAACCTGAAGACTACAGGTTGGATAGAGACTGCTAAGTCTAGCTTAAAGACAGGATCTAGGGCTGAGGGGTAGCAGCTAGGCCCAGGGGTCAGCTGTGCTAGCAGAAGCTAGGGCTTTGTTTCCCATGGCCTGCCCTCTCTTCCCAAGGACAGCCCTAGGCTGAGGGCCTCTGCTGAGGGGAAATTTGCTGTGAGGGGCTGTTGTGTGAAGGTACTGAGGCTGGTGGCTTGTCTATCTTCCTTGTAGTGGTGCAGATCTCCTGGCTGTCAATACCGATGGGAACATGCCCTACGACCTGTGTGAGGATGAACAGACACTGGATTGCCTTGAGACTGCCATGGCCAATCATGGTGAGTGGACCATGTCGGTCTGCAAGGGGTGGTGCCCTGGGTCATGCTTTCTCTGAGCCAGCTTGCCCCTCAGGTATCACCCAGGACAGCATTGAGGAGGCCCGGGCAGTGCCAGAGCTGTGCATGCTGAATGACCTCCAGAACCTGCTGCATGCTGGGGCCAACCTCAATGACCCTTTGGACCATGGGGCCACTCTGGTGAGAACTCAGTTACTTGGGGGTGTCTGTCCTGGGGCAGGTACTTGGAGGGGTTCAGGGATTCAGGGCTGAGTGGTCTGCCTGCAGCTGCACATCGCTGCTGCTAATGGGTTCAGTGAGGTGGCTACCGTGCTACTGGAGCAAGGAGCCAGCCTGAGCGCTAAGGACCATGATGGCTGGGAGCCTCTGCATGCTGCAGCCTACTGGGGCCAGGTGAGTGTACACAGGAGCAGGGAGAGGGTAGGTTCCTGGCTCTAGCTGGAGCCCTCAGCCAAGCAGCTACTGCTGGCTGCCTGCAGGTGCACCTGGTAGAATTGCTTGTGGCACATGGGGCTGATCTGAATGGAAAATCTCTGGTGGACGAGACGCCCCTCGGTGAGTGTGGGGTTGCCTACATCTGGCAGAAGGGATAGGCCCTGAAGATGCCTGTGACACTTCTGTCCATCTCTTCTCAGATGTGTGTGGTGATGAGGAAGTAAGAGCCAAACTGCTAGAGCTCAAGCACAAACAGGATGCACTCCTGCGGGCTCAGGGCCGCCAGCGCTCCCTGCTGCGCCGTCGCACCTCTAGCGCAGGCAGCCGTGGGTAAGCCCCCTGCTGTGGGTCACTGTCCACTTGCTGAGGCCTAGACTTTGCCCCTGTGGGTGTCAGCTGGCAGTGGAGCCCCAGTAGGGGTTGTGGGCATTGGCTGTGAGATGGGTGATGATGTCTCAGCTTCCTCTCCTCTCAGGAAGGTGGTGAGACGGGTGAGCCTGACACATCGCACCAACCTATATCGCAAGGAGCATGCCCAAGAGGCCATTGTGTGGCAACAGCCAGCACCTACCAGTCCAGAACCTCTAGAGGATGAGGACAGGCAGACAGATGCTGAGCTCCGGCTGCGGCCCCCAGAGGTGAGCATGCAGCCCCTGTACGGCCCCAGGCTTGGAGCTGTCTTGTTGTGTGATCTGGTCACTTAGTTCCTAGTCTTTTATCCTCGATAGCCCCTATGGAGGTGGTAGGCCCAGTGACCCCATGCTTCTAGATGAGCTAGTGTCCCTAAGGTATAGGCTGCTGACCCTTTCACTGTCATGTCTGTCCATCTACCCCCATTTTACACGACCTGAACCCCCAGGCTGGTATGGGTAAGAAAAAGTACCTCCTGATGGCCTCTGGGGTTCTGGCTCTGTCCACAGGAAGACAGCCTTGAAGTGGCCAGACCACACAATGGCCAAGTAGGGGTCCCCCCAGGGAGGCACCTGTACTCCAAGCGTCTAGATCGGAGTGTCTCCTATCAGCTGAGTCCTGCAGAGAGCAATGCCCCTGATGCCCTCGTCCGGGACAAGGCCCACCATACACTGGCAGAACTTAAACGCCAGCGAGCAGCTGCGAAACTTCAGCGACCTGCCCCTGAAGGGCCTGAGACCTTTGAGCCTGGCCTGTCTGTTGACACTGAGACCTCTCAGCCTGACTGTGGCTTCAGCCCAACTGGGGACCCTCCCCTGCTCAAGCTCACTGCCCCCTCAGAGGAGGCTCCTGTGGAGAAGAAGCCATGCTGTTTGCTCATGTGAAATGTGATTCCTCAGTGTGGCACGGTTCAACCCCATGCCCAACCAGAGGCTTCCTCATGCTCTCTGGCCTGCTGGCCCACTCCAGCACATACCCCAGTGCTGTAGGCGAGCCAGCACAGAGCCCCGGACCCCCTCCCAGCCCAGGACACTGGCCACCTTGCTCAGGGATGGACTATGCAGCACTGTACCTATGGGCCTCAGGCCACAGACTGCTTATTCTGGTGACTCTTGATAAAGGCTGTTTGCCACTGAGCCTTCCCGTGTGTCTCACTGGGGAAAGGGCAGGTAGTACTGCTGGGTAAGGAGCCACCCATGCCCAGGAGCACCCAGACCTGCAGATAGCTGCGTGCTGGGGCTTGCAGGTGGCAGCCTCAGCCTTTGTGGGAGGGAAGCTCAAGGCTGGAGGCAAGAAGCCCAGCCTTTACCTCCACCTCTCCTGGCTGGTTCAGCCGCTTGGAGGCTCCTCTGTAACCCTTTGCTTCCCTGAAAGCCATGAGGCACTTTGAAAAAGGACTCTTGATGGGGAATACAGAGGGTGACAGTGCAGAGGGACAGGGACCCTGGCTAGAACAGATAGGATGTTCTCCACCGGACTGGGCCAGAGCCAGCAGGGTGAAACAGGCAGAAGGCTGGCAGCAGGCACTTCCCAGGGTCATGGTCTCAGTTCCTGGCATGCAGCCCTGATTCTGGGGCATGTCTGCCAGCTTCCGCCTCTACTGGTATAGGTGACAAGCAGTTGGCTACTCGGGCTGTGCTGGCTAGGCACAATGCATCAGAGTGAGAGGGGCCCTTTAGGGGCCTCAAGCTGGAGGGAAGAAGGCACCTCTAGATCATGTCCATTGCATTTGGCTTTGCATGGCCATCCCGTACCAGGTCACATGGGCACTGATCTAGTCAGCCTGCTGTCCGTCCCCAGGGCCTGTCCTTCCTCTAGCACCTGTGGTTGGAGGGTTAGTGTCCTTGGAAGGGCTTGGGGGGGGGGGGGCTGGTGGTGGCTGCTGGTTAAATTTAGAGTAGGGCTGTGCTGCTGCCGGAAGTCCACCTGCCGCCAGTGCTGCTGCTTGGGCCCTGCTGGTAAGAGGCAGGCAGTGGCAGGCTCTGCCGGGGCCAAGCCATATTAATCTGTGCTCTGCCCTGGCACCCAGAGACAGGCCAGTGAGCTGGGAGGCCACTGTAGCATCAGAGCCAAGAGCTCAGAGGTGAGTGTGTCCCCCCACTCCAGGACCTCATGTGATTCTTCTAGCCTCGAGGAACAGGGGGATCAAGGCTCACCTGAGGCCTTAATAACGGCTGCTGCCCAGCTTAGAAGTCAGACTCCCCAGCCCTCAGCCTGGGCCATAGATGGGTCCAGGGGCTTAGATGACCAGTGCTGAGTATGGCCTTTAAGCTTCCGGCAAGGCCAGTGGGAGTGGGGCTCTACAGGCCTATCAGAGCTCACTTCCTGCTCTCTCTACCAATTAGGAGCAAGAGGGAAGGGGAGTTAGTTACCCTTGGCCTGGGTTGTAGCCCTAAGGGCACCCTCAGGTTGATGTGTATTAAAAGGGCATGAGGGCAGTCCAGGATGAGGTGTGTCCAGAACTAGCTGTCCTGTCTCCTGTCTCCTCCCCTCCCCCTAAACCCTTGCAGTGCTCATCAGGGACCAAGGTCCAACCATAGCACTCTGGCAATCCCCGAAGAACCCAGAGACTCAATACCTTTCTCTCCTCCCTGAGTGAGCCCCAGATTTCTAAGGCCTGGCTTAGTAACCTAGGAAACAAGTCCACTTGCTTTAGTAAAGGTGACTGTGTGTATGTGGGGTGGGGGTCTGAGAAGGCTAGGCCTCAGCTGGGGCTTGCTAGGATAAATCTCTAGTAGTCGCTGGCTCTGTTCTTCATAGGCCCAGACGCTGAGTGTTCTTTTCTCCCAATATTCAGTGTGTCAAATGTTGAGCCATCCGTCTGTCCCTACTCCCCAAGTGGGTCTCCCGCTCCCTCATGGGGACATTAGGCGGCACTGGGCCTCGCCCCAAGCCCCGCCTGCTGCCTTACCAACTCCCTCTGGCTCAGTGGGGCAGATCTGTGCCCAGACTGGTGGGGCGGGGCCCAGGGTGCTCCAGTTCCTTCAGCCCTTTCTGCCCCTTTCAGTAGGGTGAGAAGGCTGCAGTGAAGAGGGTGTCTTCATTCAAGCAGGCTCCTCCATTCCCGGTCCTGAGCTCCCATCTGGACCCTTCTACTTTCTGAGCCAGTATCTCCTACCTGGTCTGAGCAGTCATGGCCTCAGTGAATGATCAAAGCCAGGCTTCAAGAAACGGGCTGAAGGGGAAGGTGCTAACTCTGGATACTATGAACCCATGTGTCCAGAGGGTGGAGTATGCAGTTCGAGGACCCATAGTGCAGCGTGCCTTGGAGCTGGAACAGGAGCTGCGGCAGGTATGGTCTTGGGCCACTTGCTGCCTTTCTATTCAACTTGGTTTGCTGAGTTAGTCCCAAGCTCTGTGGAATGTGGGACAAAGGCAGGGGGATGGTTGTGCCCAATCTCACTGCCTGCTCCCCTTCTTCCCCAGGGTGTGAAGAAGCCCTTTACTGAGGTCATCCGTGCCAATATTGGGGATGCACAAGCCATGGGGCAGAGACCCATCACCTTCTTCCGCCAGGTTAGGCTGCTGCTGTGTGCCTGTGGTCAAACTCCCTCCTCCAAAAAAACTGCCCAGGACTCAGTACTTGGTTCTTCCAGGTCCTGGCCCTCTGTGTCTACCCCAGTCTTCTGAGCAGTCCTGACTTCCCAGAGGATGTCAAGAGAAGGGCAGAACGTATCTTGCAGGCATGCGGGGGCCACAGTCTGGGTGAGTGCCAGCTCTAGGTGGAGTTCAAGCCTCAGGGACCGGCAGAGACGGATGGGTCCCCCTGGGAGGCGTACAGGACTTGCCCCCCTCACTAACTTGTCCCCTGTCAGGTTCCTATAGCATTAGCTCTGGCATCCAGCTGATCCGGGAGGATGTGGCGCAGTACATTGAGAGGAGAGATGGAGGCATCCCTGCAGACCCGAACAACATATTTCTGTCCACCGGGGCCAGCGACGCCATCGTGGTAGGGTGGGCCAGGCCAGGCCAGGCCAGAGTAGCGCTATGTGTGAGGCTAGATGGGGCTGAGTCTGGTCCAGCAGTGTCAGCTCGGGGCAGCGGTGGCGGCGGCGTGGGGGTATGCAAGCCTGGTTGCACTAACCCTGTGCTTCCTATCCCGCCCACAGACATTGCTCAAGATGCTGGTGGCCGGCGAGGGCCGTACACGAACGGGCGTGCTCATCCCCATTCCTCAGTACCCACTGTACTCGGCTGCGCTGGCTGAGCTAGACGCCGTGCAAGTGGACTACTACCTGGACGAAGAGCACGCCTGGGCTCTAGACCTCGCGGAGCTGCGGCGCGCTCTGTGCCAGGCACGTGACCGCTGCTGCCCTCGCGTACTGTGCGTCATCAACCCGGGCAACCCCACTGGTAAACCTACCTGCTCCGCCCCGTCCAGTGTCACCCTTTCCTGCCAGCCCCGCCCCTAGCGCTCCTCCCATCAGCTCCTCCTCTTCCTCTGGGACCCGCCCTCCCTCTCTCTCTCTCCCGCCCCAAGTGCGCCCGGGCGGAGCGCAATTGAGCTTGGTTTTCTGTTGGTGGCTGACCCTGTCAGTGCCGCACCTCCATATACCCCAGGGCAGGTGCAGACCCGTGAGTGCATCGAAGACGTGATCCGCTTTGCTTTCGAAGAGGGACTCTTCCTGATGGCTGATGAGGTACAGACAGGGGGCACACGTAGCAGTGGGCAGCAGCTCGGCAGCCAGCCTAAATGACACCGCCGCCTCTACAGGTATACCAGGACAATGTGTATGCCGAGGGCTCTCGGTTCCATTCATTCAAGAAGGTGCTCACGGAGATGGGGCCGCCGTATGCGACGCAGCAGGAGCTTGCTTCCTTCCACTCAGTCTCCAAGGGCTACATGGGCGAGTGTGTACAGGCCCAGGTGGTGGTGGCGAAGGTGGGAGGGGAAGAGGACGCCCCGGGTCACTGCCATGGCTCAACACCCTCTTCCCAGACCATCCCTACCTAACTCATGCTCTCCTGCGCAGGTGCGGATTCCGTGGTGGCTATGTGGAGGTGGTAAACATGGACGCTGAGGTGCAGAAACAGATGGCGAAACTGATGAGTGTGCGGCTGTGCCCACCAGTGCCGGGCCAGGCCCTGCTCGACCTGGTGGTCAGTCCGCCAACACCGTCCGAGCCATCCTTCAAGCAGTTTCAAGCAGTGAGCAGAGCAGACCAGGCCAAAGACGGCTGGTGATCCAGCTTTGGGTGGGACCCTAGGGGGACATACCGAACGAAACCCTCTTTCCATAATTCCCTCCCGTGGCTGCAGGAGAGGCAGGAGGTGCTGGCTGAGCTGGCAGCCAAGGCTAAACTGACGGAGCAGGTCTTCAATGAGGCTCCCGGGATCCGCTGCAACCCAGTGCAGGGCGCCATGTACTCCTTCCCTCGAGTGCAGCTGCCCCCAAGAGCAGTGCAGCGCGCTCAGGTGGGGAGTGCAGGGTCTTGTGGGGGCTGAGCAGGTTGTGGGTGGGCCTGGGTGCTGTGACCTGACCATCCTCCTGAACCCCAGGAACTGGGCCTGGCGCCTGACATGTTCTTCTGCCTGTGCCTCCTGGAGGAGACTGGCATCTGTGTTGTGCCTGGGAGTGGCTTTGGGCAGCAGGAGGGCACCTATCACTTCCGGTGAGACCTGGTATGTGTTGACCCCGCCACAAACGGGTCTGTGCCCCTCGCTTACCATTTGTCCTTTCCAGGATGACCATTCTGCCCCCCATGGCGAAGCTGCGGCCACTGCTGGAAAAACTGAGGCAATTCCATGCTAAGTTCACCAAGGAGTACTCCTGAAGCCACTGCCAGGGCCACACTGGATGGCCTCTGACTGGACAAGCAGGGTCCTTGGGAGCCCTCAGTATTTGCTGCTTTTTAGTCTAGGGTCTGGGTACCTATCCCTGCAGGTCCCTAATAAAGCTGGGTGTCAGCCTGACACGAAGTGGCTGCCTGGGTGACCCCAGCTTTTGGCTTCCCTGATTGGCTTCATATAGACACACACAGACTCCACTTGAGGGATACTAGAAATCTCATCGAGAGGAGTTGTTAAGGACGGTTTCCAGGGAAGCCTTCCACCCCCAGGCTGTCACTCATCCATCTGGCTTGAGACAGATGCGTCTGGGGGCTAGGTCTTCATTATGGTGGTAAGCATGGGGCATGTGATGATCCATTAGGTAAAGCCAACCCACATACTAGTAAAGTGTAGGGCAGAGACACTTGGGATGAGTTTGCAGAGAATTCCAGGGGAAAGAGATCTTGGGGGCTGTCACAGAAATAGCACCCCTTCCCTGAGACACAGCAACGTGTCCCTTTGTTCAGGCACTTCCTGTGCCGACCACAGGATGGAGGTGTTGGACAGGGTCACAACCAAGTCAGTGGCAGCCCGCCTGCACGCGGAGCAAAGCAGGGAAGGTCCTCTAGCAAACCACTTCCAGGAAGAAAACATGGTGGAGCGGGGGCTCGGGAAGGTCTGAGCCTCTGCGCACAGACCTTCTGTGATTCACCCGTGTGGTCTGTGGTGTTCCTCTGAGGTAGCCAACAGCAGCCCACCCCCCTAACACTGAGTTTGAGTTATTTGCAGTGGCAGGGATTGAATTCAGGATCACTGAACTATATCCTGCCCGCCAACCTTTCCCAATTTTAAGACATGGTCTTGCTAAGTTGTCCAGTTCAACCTTAAACTCACCTCCTCTGGCCTCAGCCTGAATAGCTGAAATTATAGGCATTCACCGTTATGCCCAAAAGTAGGACCCATTGTATAGATATGAAAACTTGGATCTGGAGACTATGTGGAAGGGACTGGACAGGCTCTCAGTGGAAACAAGGCAATGCCGGGATGCTCAGACTTGACCACTGTGTCCAAACACAATAGCAGTACCCACTTGTCTACTGTGAAGTCAGTTCTTAACCCAAGGTCTTATTTAACAGCCTCATTGCTGCCTTCAGAGAGCACAACTCTGGGAATTCCGGGAACAGGGAAATTGGACATGGGCCTTCCCTGCAGGGCCAGAATCACACGGGCTGGACTACCTACCCTCACTGAACACAAGGGAAGGGGGTTATCATGGGAAGTAGCTGACTGGGTCCTGCCCTTTCCCGCAAAACTCCTGCTTCTGCGCGCGCGTTGGGGGGCGCTCTGGAGCCACGATCAGTCAAAGTATGGGAGCAGAGCTCGAAGCATTGCGGAGCAAGGTGCTGACTCCTCCATGGGAGCCGAATAGCAGAAACATTTCTGGGTGAGTGTGGTGGCGCACACCTTTAATCCCAGTACTTGGGAGGCAGAGGCAGGCTGGCTGAGTTGGAGGTGGGCTTGGTCTGCGGAGTGAGCTGCAGGACAACAGGACTACAGAGACCCCCACCCCAGTAAAAACACGGAGACCCTCATCCCCCCCCCACCCCAATAAAAAAGAAATGCGTCTGGAACGAATCTGGTAACCATTGAGCAGAAAGGAAGATACTTTTGAGACCAGCCAGTTGCTGCAGCTTCCTTCCCAGCAGCTCACTGGCCTGCTGGGAGCACGAACAGCAGCGCTGTGGTGTCCAGTTTTGGCACCAGGGGCGCCAGAGCAGCCGTTCTGGGTCTGCGAAGCTATCTGTATAACCTGCTTGACATCTGGCACTGGGGTTTAAAGGCCAACTGAGGACTAGACTACAGAGCTAACAGGGTGTTGGCTCCACCCTCAGCCAAGGGAGCCCCGCCTCTCCCTCAGCCTGACCCCTGCGCAAAGCATGCTGGTAGTCATGGGCTGCGCGAGGCCGCCGGCTCACCTCGCTATAGGATAGGTCTATTGCTCTGCATTTTTCTCCCAACTTCGGTACTTCCGGGATATCAGGGCCCCAGTTTGCGCGTTGGGATTCCAGCCTCATTGTCCCTGAGTCTATGTAGGCGGACCAGACCCTGACCTTTCATCCCGAGCCATCAATCCCAGCACGAGCCGGCTATGCATGGGAAGCTGCTGCCGCTGGGTGGCCTCTATCTTGTGCAGGGTCTGCCCTATGGACTGCAGTCCAGCTTGCTACCTATTTTACTGCGGGCCCGAGGCCTCTCTCTAACTCGTGTGGGTCTGACCAAGGGATTGTATGCTCCATGGCTATTAAAGCTGGCGTGGGCACCGCTGGTGGACAGGCGGGGCTCCCCGAGGCTCTGGCTGACCCTCAGCACCATGTCCCTGGGCCTGGTGTGTGGACTGCTGGCTGCGTTGCCTCCCCCGCAAGCTGGCCAGGCACAGCTGCCCACCCCCGTGATGGGGCTGCTGCTGCTGCTGAATCTGGGTGCAGCAGTGCAGGACGTGGCTCTGGACACGCTCGCTGTACAGCTCCTGGAGCCAAAGGAGTTGGGACCTGGGAACACTGTGCAGGTGGTGGCTTACAAGCTGGGATCAGCACTGGCTGGGGGTGGGCTGCTGGTCCTTTTCCCCACCCTCTCTTGGCCATTGCTTTTTCTGCTCCTAGCTGCCACCTACTGGGTGGCTGCTGCCTTAGCCTGGGCTGCACCGGCTTTGGGAAGACTGCCATGGCCTCAAGTGTCCGAGCACGCCCCACACACCTATCTCCTACAAGATTTGCTGGCTGTGCCTGGGACCCTCTGGACAGCAGGCTTTGTGCTCACCTACAAGTTGGGTGAGTGGGGCCTTAAGTTAGTTAACATCAAAATTGGTCCTTAGGGCCCTAAAACCCACTTAAGGGACAGCCCTATTCTGGGCTGTCAGCCCAGAGCTCTCTGCAGCTCAGTCTTGCCTTACCTGTTGATTGCCTCAGCTCCAGCCTTTCTCTTCTAACATCTGGGGCCCATGAAAATGAAGGGGACCAGGGGCCCGACTGGTTGGAATATTGTGGGTCCTGGATAGAAAAAGCGGGGGGTGGGGGGGACGGACATCCTTGCTTATGGTCTCCTGTAGGTGAGCAGGGCGCTGGCAGCCTGTTCCCACTACTTCTGCTGGATCATGGTGCTTCTGCCTCAGACTTGGGGCTATGGAGTGGCTTGGGTGCCATGACCTGTTCCATTGCTGGCTCCTCATTGGGTGGAGCTCTACTGGCCAGGCACTGGTAAGCGCTCCCCAACCCTAACTCGACCCTTACCTCCCGTCTCCCAGGCAATCTTACCATATCCAGCCTCCCAATTCCCACCCTAGGCAGCCGCTGTCCCTGCTGAGGTCGGTGCTACAGCTTCGCCTTTGGGGTCTGGCCGGCCAGACTGCTCTGCTTTTCCACCTCAACACCCCAGGAGCCAGTCTGGACCCTGGCACAGTCTTGAGAGGTGAGAGGTTAGCCTTGAGGATATAGGGAGGGGGCAGGAGCCTGGGGCCCCACTGACCTTTGTTCTTCCAGGGGCAACTTTGCTGAGCATCTGTGTGCAACAGTTTCTGGGGGGTGTGGTCACCACTGCCACATTCACTGTGATGATGCACTGCAGCCAGTTAGCACCCAGAGCCCTGCAGGTAAGAGGGCCGGGCGGGAGGCCCAGGGACTGCAGGGCTGCGGGGTCACTAGGCCCTGATCTGTATTCCCTCCCCCAGGCCACACATTACAGCTTCCTGGCCACTCTGGAACTGCTGGGCAAGCTGCTACCGGGTATCCTGGCTGGAGTGCTGGCTGACGGCCTGGGCCCACCTCTCTGTTTTGCCGCCTTCCTTGTACTCTCAGCCCTACCCGTCCTGGATCTCAGCCTGGCACCCAGTCACCTGACCTGAGCTGGATGTTAGGACTGTCCATAAAGCCAATAAAACTAATGTATGGCCCAGATGTCCAGGACACAGGAGCTGCAGCTATCTTCAAACTGAGGGCTGCGTTCCCAGGAAGTATATAAAATTACTGAATGCTTTTTATTCTGCATCTCGGATCTTCTTGTCCCCTTCCTGCACCTGGAAGGTTTTGCCTAACACTCAGTGATAGCTTTGCCTTGATGAGCTGGACACCAGCTGTGTAGTTAGTGGCTGCCTCAGGCCTCAATCATATCGCACTCTCCCGTGCACGGTAGTCATCGGCCTCTCAGCAGGAGTTCCTCTGTAGCTAGGCGCATCAGAGCATGGAAGTTCAGGTGCAGGTACTTTCTCCAGAAGCGCCGGTCCTGTCCATACACCTGGGCTGGGTAGCAGGGGCTTGCTATGATGGAACAGAAACATAGGCCTGAGGACACCGCTGGCTCTAGTACCCAGCCCCAGCTGACATCAGGCAGCCGCCCCGTGGCCCTCACCAATGCCATGGAAGATGCGGGCCACAGCCCTTCCTGAAAACCTTTCCTCTGGCCTCAGGGACAGGAGCTGGCGGATGTCACGGCGAATTTGGTCCTCCCAGTCCTGAAGCTGTGGGGGGACAGCATGTGACCTCACCTGAGCCTCCACGGCGTCTGTCACATAAAATCAGACCCCGAGCAGCCCAGGAGACCTTGAGCCAGGCAGGTTTTGGACTGTCCTTGGCTTTAGGAATTATCCTCAGAGGTGTGGCACTTACCTGGGTCTGCCCAGGCTCAGGCTCCTGCTTATCCTTCCCAGTTTCCACTTCCTCCTCCTCTTCCTCAAAGTAGCGGCTGATCAAGGTCTTCAGCTGATTGCTGTGCTCCTCATCAGGCTGCTCTAAACAGGGTCCACAACTGGGAAAGGCCACACTGGGGATGACAGACAAACCTGTCAAGAATTGCCCGTGGGGGTCAGAGTGAGTGGCCTAGGCGCTGCCCACCAACTTCCCACCTTCGGAAGGCCTTGGATATTTGGTGTAGACTGGCCAGGGCCTTGTGCTCCTGAGCCTGCACACGGCTGTATAGAAAGTCGCAGATCTGGTCCTTCTCCTCATCTGTCAGGTCCCCAGGACTGTGTAGGTGAAAGGCCAACTCCCTGAACTCCACGAACACCCCTGTGCCCTGTGCTGCACCTGTGAGCAAGTGTGTCAGTTACAGGAGAGCAGGGGCCAGCAGCTCAGGCTGGGGCAGGGGTGGGCATACCTTTCTTTGGTTCTTGGTCCCATTTGAGCTGATGGAGGGCCTTCCGTACAGAGGCCAGCTCCCAGCCCATCGAGTCTGCTAGCTCCACCATGTCAAAGTCTAAGGAGCTGCTGCCCTGACTTGTGTCTTTAGGTGGCCACCTGGCCCAGCATGCAGCCAAAGGCGGACACCTGTGCCCAGGGAACAGAGGAGCATGTGGCTGGCAGCCCTGGTTCTTTGTCGTCCCCCCTGCCCCCTGCCCAGGGGAGACGTGCTTACCTGTGGGCCAAAGTCTGCAGCTGGGCACTGCCCCCAGGGCAGCGCAGATGGCAGTGAGCATAGGTACAGGGCAGCAGCTCCAACCAGTGCTGTGGATGTAGTTCCAGGTAGCACAGGAGAGTCTCAATGGCTAGAGGCAGAGGAAGGCTCAGGGGCTGTGGGGACAGCCTTTCCCTATAGCCCATACCCTGCCTGGCTCCTTACCCTCCTCTGTCATGTCCAGAGTCTGTACCATAGACTGCACTGGCAGTGCCCGCTTATGGCCCAGGCAGGCCCGTCCTAGTACGGGGTATGTTTGTTGGCCATTGTGCTCTTTGGTCTCAAGTGAGGATCCGGACCTAGGCCTGTGGGTGCACGTGCAGGGTGGGAACACGTGCTGCACCAGCTTCTTCACAGCCAGGAAGTCAGTGCCATCAGCGTGGGCATGCCTGCGCAGTTCACAAAGGTCTTCACCCTGCATTGCAACAGTCACGCGCACACAGCTATAGCACCCAGGCCTAGAGCGGCAGCCAAAAGTAAAACAGGATAGCAGCTAGGGCTGAAGTGGCTTAGGAAGAGCATAACCCCTGGGTCTAACATGGTCTGGGAGATGGGGAGGGGGTGGCAACCTGGGGGTGCAAGAACAGGTGGCAATGGGCAGGCTTCCCATCTCGTCCTGCACGGCCGATAGCTTGCACATAGCTCTCGAAGCTCGGAGGTAGGCCCAGGTGCAGCACGGCCCGAACATCTGGTCGGTCCAGCCCCATCCCGAAGGCTACCGTGGCCACTACCACCCGCAGGCGGCCCTGCATGAAGGCCTGCTGAACCTGTCTCCGTGCCTGGCTGCACATGCCAGCGTGGTACGCTTCAGCAATAGTCTCGGGGCCACAAGCTGCAGAGAAGGTGTACGAACAGTTGAGGGGACCGCAGCAGGCACGCAGAGGGAAGGGTCCCTGGGTGCCTGCACGTGCCTACCTCTAGGCCTTGAATCTCCCGCCATAGACAGGCAGGTCCGGAGGAGGGCAGCCACCCGTTCTGTATCCTTTCTTCGGGTGCAGTAGATGATAATAGAGTCCAGGGTGCGGAAACGGTCACCCCGCAGCAGTGTCACCAGGGCCTGGCAATGAGGAATGATTAGCACGGGGGACTGGGCTCTGACAGGGTCCCTAGTGTGTACATACATGCCTACCTGGTCTGAGTCTCTGTCCATGGACACGGAGAGGTGCAGATTGGCAGGGACGGTGGCTGACCCACCGGGCTCTTCAGCTATGCCCAGGTGCTGGGCCACATCACGAGCAGTGCTCCGAGTGGCTGTGGCTGTGAGGCCCAAAAAGCAGCGCACGCCCAGATGCTCCCGAAGCACCTGAGCCAAGGACAGGGGTCAGTCACTCAGCCCACCTGGTTCCCAGTCCCCCTCCATTCTCACCCAGACAAATGCTCACTCTGCAGACTCGCAGGTAGCAGGGCCGGAAGTTGTGTGACCACTGAGAGAGGCAGTGAACCTCATCGATGCAGGCGAAGGCAACTGGAGGAAGTTGAGTGGCCCGGGAAAGGTTGGCAGGGCCCCGAGCCCCACAGCCGACCAAGGCCTCTGGGGATACGATCAGCACGTGCACCTGGGCTGCCCGAACCTGAGGAGAAGAGGATTATAGGCACTGCCTAGATGGATGCCCACTACCCCTCATCCATGGGGCCCTTCTCACCTTCTTCAAGACAGATTCTCGTTGTTTCTTGGTCATACCTGAGTGGAGGCACGCTGCCTTCAGACAGGAAGGGAGGTCGGACACCTGTGGATGCAATGTTGTCATAGACCGGCACAACACAGTCTCTCAATCTCTCAGAGCCACTCAACCGTCTGGAAGCAAATGCCCCTGACCCTGGCTCCTGGGAGAAAAAGCTCAGATCCACCTATGGGCCTGGGAGCCCTGCAGAACACTGGACATCAGGCTCTACCACCCTTAAGACAAGGTCAGCTGGCCACTGGTGTGTTCAAGGAATAAGAAGCACATGAGGGTATCAGAGGCAACAAACTTCAGGCTTTCCAGGTACCGAGAGCCTGTCCATGTACCTGGTCATCCATGAGTGACAGGAGAGGAGAGATCACCAGGGTGAGGCAGGGGCTTCGCTGGGCATACAGCAGCGCAGGAAGCTGGTAGCACAGAGACTTACCAGCACCCGTGGGCAACACCAGCAGAGTGGAGATGCCTGGACAGGACAAGAGGCAGCTATGAGGCTCAACTGGCCAGACGCAGCCTGGTACAGTTCCTAGGCAGCCACACCTACCAGAAAGAATCCGCATGACGGCCTGCTCTTGTCCAGGGCGGAAGGCTTGGTGCCCTAGCTTCTTTAGGGCCTGGAATACCTCAGCAGGGGTTTCTGTGGACACAAGTTGTGGTTTGGATGAGAATGGCCCCAAAGCCTCGTGCTTGGTCCCCAGTTGGGGAACTGTTTGGGAAGGATTGGGAGGTGTGGCCTTGTTGATGAAGTGCGTCACTGGGGGTGGGCTTTGAGGTTTCAAAGGCCCAAGCCAGGTCCAGCATTGTTCTCTTTGTCTGCTGCCTGTGGATTAGTATATGAAGCTCTCAGCTGCTTCTCCAGCACCATGCCTGCCTCTCTACTTCCCGCCATGATAATGGACTAAGCTGCTGAAACGGTATTTTTCTGTGGTTCAGTGGAGGCAGCTCACAACTTTAATCCCAGCACTTGGGAGGCAAAGCCAGGTGGAGCTCTGTAAGTTTGAAGCCAGCCTGGTCTACAGGAAGCTCCTAGGATTAACAGGATAACCCTGCCTCAAAAAACCAACAACCGAACGAAGGAGTTGTCACGGTCAGTGTCTCTTCACAGCAACAGAAAAGTAACTAAGGAAAGACTCTGGCCTATTAAGTCTCACCCACCTACTACCTGTCCCGAGGGCCCTGGTGGGTAGAGGGGCGACATTAGGGTGGGATGATGAGGCTCTTGTCCCTTTGGCCCAGCAAGTTCTGTTTCCTCATCTGCAAGAGAGGGCAATGTGGGAGTACCAGAACAGACAGAAATGAAACCATCCTGGCATAATGGCCACTGGTCACATCCCCCAGTCCCCCCTCACTCACCAGAGAGGTGACAGGAAGTGGTGTCTGTCCTCTGTGTTACTTCTTCCAAAGTGGAAATGGACTCTTCGTCATCCCTGCCACCTTTCTCCTGGATGGTCAGGGTGGGGCCTGGACCAGGGTTCAGAGCTGGTAGAGCCTTTTGTTTGCATAAGCAATTCCCTAGCCCCCCACGATGGTTAAATGACCCAACACTCATGGCAGAGGCCTACCTGGCTGAGAGCATTGGGATGCCCAATGACCAAACTGACCACACCGGAAACAAGTGTCCTTGCCTGTGGTTCTGGGTCCACCTCCCCCAAACTGCTCTCTTTTCTTCTTCCATTTTTGCTTCCATACCTGGGGAAGGTCCACAAGAGCCATTTAGGAGTGGATGAGGAGAGGAAGGGCTGGCTTGTTTCAGTCAACGTATCTCACCTGCTTACGGAGAAGCCTGCCTCGGTTGGCCCCAGCACGCACAAAGGCCTTGTGTTTCATGTTGAGCCGAACATAGTTCCCTCTGTCCAGGAAAGCTGGTCGGGAGGAGATGCGGTGGTGGGCTGTGCCCTTACACTTCTCTGAGGAGTTGCAGGGCTGAGGTGCATCCACTTGCACAGGAGGGTCTTTCTCATGTGCTGTAGCTCTCTCAGACAGAGCCTCGGCTTGACTGCTGCCCTGGGCTTGTGGAAAGTCCTCCAACTTCTCACTCCATTTGCGCTTCCTGTCTTTACTGTTGCTGGATTTGGGGCTCAGTGAGAAAACTCGGGCTGGCTGTGGGGCTAGGGCCTCTGGGCTCTGTGAGTCTTCCGAATGAATGCCCGGTTCAACGGCAGTCACCTTGCCTAACATGCACGGTTGTGACTCCTCTGCACCCAGGTCAAGCCCATCATCACTTGGAACCTCGAGAAGGTCTGAAACTGTGTTGTGACACCTCTCTAGCCAGCCAGGGTCTAGGGAATTTAACCTCAGGCTCAGGGATGCCCGAAGCTGCTGGAGTTGGCCTAGCCTTGGCTGGGGCTCTGGAAGCTGGGGAAGCACATCATCAGCTTCATGTGGATTGGTGGACACAGTCCTTGGGCCTGGTGGCCTTGGGACGGGCGCCGTGGACAAGGATCTCTTCTGAGGCTGCACTTTTCGGCTCAGGGTCGACCCAGCCTAGGTTGGGGAAGACAAAACAGTAAGTAGGAACTCAGGACCCAGGGTTATGGCAGAAGTTTGGGGCAGACAAGAAGCCGAGAGCAGAGATGCCAGAGCACCCTTAAGGGGTCTCGCCCCAGCTGTTATAGGAGCCTGGGTCTGCGTGTTCACGCTGTAAAGAAGGGTGGACCACCCCAGAGTCACGACAGTTCCGGGTTCAGGTCCACTGCTGACCTTTAGTGTGCTTTGCAGATTGGCTTTAAGCCTCTTCCCATAGTCTTGTACCGAACTCAGCGGGCGCTGTCTCGGCTTAGACTGTGCCTTCTGGGTTGCAGCTCGATTCAGGTGGGAACCCCAGCAGCTTGGCTCCTGTGCCTGCAGCAGACAGTAGCGGACTAGACCAGTTTAAAAGACAGAAGTGCCTTCAAAGCTTCCCCTAACCCCCATGGAAGGGCCTGGCCACCCAACTTCTGTGCTCCATGGAGGTATGGCTGCAAATGCTCTCGGGTCCTGCCATTTGACAATACGGAACGCTGACGGCGAGACTGGGATTGAGGGCCAGTATACCTCCTCAGCTGCCTTGGCGGGTGACCGCTCTAGGATGCGCTGTCCGTCGCCGGCCTGACGCACTGCCTGCTTTAGGTTACGGTACTCACGGTAGAGCGCTGGGAAGGCAGGAGTCGGGGGTCAGGGTACACCCTCTAACATTCGCCCAGGCCCAGGCCCTCCCGGCCAGCGCTCACCGCGCGTCTCCTCAGGGGCCGCCTCCACATCCTCCTATGGGACAGAAGCTCGTCAGCTCCAGGCTGGGCCTGGGATCCCCGCTCACCACCCTGTCCGGTCCCCGATCCCACCTCACCTGCGCTGGCCGTCGCCCGTGCAGCCGCGCGAACGCGCGTTCCCACTCCTGCAGCCGCGCGCGGACGGTCGCAAGCCGTTCCATGAGAGCCAGGGCCACAGTCTAGGGAATCTCCCGCCGCCACCGTCAAGTCTCGCTCTCAGCCAATGGGAGCCGGCAGCGGGCGGCGCGGCCTCGGCGGCCAATTCGCTGGGCCCTGAGGAGGCGGGGCATGTGGGACTTACGTCATCGCCGCGCGCCACGCTGCTGCGCGGCGCCGGGCTAGGCTGGTGGAGGGGTTGGAGGCCCTGGTGGTAGGGGCGTATGAGCTGGGACCGCTAGGCTGGGATCCGAGCGGGGCCAAGAGCCGGCAGCCGGCAGGGATCAGGGCACTTGGACGGCGGGATCGAAGGGGGCTGGCGCTTGAAGGCCCCGGCCGCGGCGGATTCTCGGGAGGTAGCGCTGCGCGGGGATGGGCCGGGGTGAGCCCCGCAAACGCAGGGCTACCAAGGGGCGGGTGAGGACCTTGTCGCCCTGTAGGAACAGGCTCGCCCGGGTTAGTTGAGGTTCTGGGCTTGATTCGTGAAGGAGCCGAGCGTACGCGACTGTGTGGCACCGCAGAGACCGCTGTCTACTGGATACCGCCTCATCACCAATCCTTGCTTGGAGGCCAGGCCGGCGGCTGCCTTCCTTTTTCCTCTTATGACGCGTGACCGGTCGGCTCATCTTTTCATCGAGGCATTCCTCGCGATATTACCGTAAGGTAGAGCCAGGTCGAGGGTAGTCACCCGGGGTTTCTTAAGCACTTGTTCATGGTTTCAGATGTAGCAAATCCCAGGGTTCTGTCAAGGCCTTTCTGCCTTTCAGCCCCGTGCTGCGACTTTGGGTAAAGCCTAGGCCTTAGTTTTCCAACCTGTGTTTTCTAGTGTGGTGGCGTAGTGTGTAGGGTAAGGTGTTCGGCCTGTAGGTAGTCCTCTGACCCTGTGTAGCAGGAATCATTCAGCCTCGGGTTCTTCTGCATGAGGCTTCTCACCTGGAATGCTTTGACAGTTTCTGACCTGAATCTTTCTGCATCCCATGAATTTAAGACTTGGTCACTGTACAGTGGTTTCTCAGTGAAGAGGGGACCCCAGAGGGTGAGAGTTACATTTCCTCGGGGATTTCTGTGCCTAGTTAATACCCTAGAAAACTGTTATCTCTGGAGTTCACACTTACGGCCTTGATCTCAGAGGCTGCACCTCACCTGTGCCCAGGACCCTTTTATAAAAACCAGAACCTGGCACTTTCTAATATGTGCTTATACCTCTTTAAATCCGTGCTGTCTCTGCAGGGATTCTCTAACTGTTCCTGTGCTGGTGAGAAGAGAGGACTGCAGTTTATTTCACTTTAAGAAAATATTTACATTCCCTTAGTTGTGTCTGTCTGAGTGTGTGTGTATGCATCATGTGTGTGCAAAAGCCCTCAGGGCAGAAGAGGGCATCTGCATCAGGTCACTTGGGACTGGAGTTTTGGCTGGCTGTGACATACCTTGTGGGTTCCAGAAACCAAATTGGGATCTTTGCAAGATCAGTAACTGCTCTTAACTGCTGAGCCATCTCTCCATCCCCTGTCTTACAAGCAACCAAACCTGCTAGAATTCAAGTATTGGGCTGGCCAGTCACTAAGTTTCAGGGATATTCCTGTTTCTGTTGACTCCAGTCCTGGGATTACAGAGGTATGTCACCCATATCCTGCTCGTACATAGGTTCTGGGATCTGAAGTCAGGTCCTCATGACCGTTCAGCAAGCACTATACAGAAAGGCATCTTCCAGCCCCTTAGTTTCATTTTATTTTTCTCTTCTCTGAGGCAGCATGTTACGCTGTATGGATAAATAGACTAGATGGGCCTTGAACTTAGAGATACCTTCCTCTTGCTTCCCCAGTGCTGGAGCTAAAGGTGTACAACCTCATGCCCAGCCTATACTTTACTTTTGAGGAATGATTTCTGAGTCATATTTGTGATTTGGGAGGCCCAAAGCATCAATGTTGGGCCTGCAGGGCGAAGGCTGTCTATCGGAAGGCCACACGTACACTGTGCTACACTATTCGCGTGCTATTTAATGCTTTGTTTTCCCCCGAGATGCTGGGATATGGAACTGTCTCCTGCCCACTCTGCACAGCTCTAAGCACTTGGTAGGAAATACTCCTGCCAGGTGTGATGGCACCTGCTTGTAATCCCAGAAGAGGCAGGAGGATTGCCACAAGTTCAAGACAAGCCTGGGCTTAGAACAGGGAGACCCTGTCTCAAGCCAAACAGAGACGCGTTCCTCTGTGCAACTCTCCTCCACTAACTGCCAACTCCACGTCAGATACCGGGGGGGGGGGGGGCTTTTGTACCACTGAGAATCTGGAGAGCGTGTATCCTGATACTGTCCCTAATTAAGATCCCTCTCCTGCAGGTGACTGTCCGGCTGGTCCAGCACCATGCACACACTTGTTTTCCTCAGCACACGTCAGGTGCTTCAGTGTGAGCCAGCTGCCTGCCAGGCCCTGCCCCTGCTGCCCCGAGAGCTCTTCCCCCTGCTGTTCAAGGTGGCTTTCATGGACAAGAAGACGGATGTGCTGCGTGAGCTGGTGTACTCGTGGCCCTTCCCACTGCTTAGCTTCCAGCAGCTGCTGCAGGAGTGTGCCCACTGCAGCCGAGCCCTGCTGCAGGAGCGGCTCAGCACGGAAAGCATGCAGGCTGTGATCCTGGGGCTGACCGCCCGGCTTCACACCCCAGAAGTGGAGGCTGGCGCACAACCCACCTGCAGGTATGCCTTCCTCTGAGGAGCCCGTGGACTAGGGGGTACAGAGAGCACTCTTTGAGTTGGTTCTAGTCTGTAGTTCTAAGGTTAGCAAGAGCGCGGGACGGGACTAGTCCTATTTGTCGCTTCTATACGAGGTGGCTGGGTGGGATGTGGGCCCTTCTCCCTCATCCCCTGTCTCTGCCCATCCCTGCCCCCAGGAAGCAGGCACTGCGGGTACTGGACATGACTGGTCTCCTGGATGACGGAGTGGAGCAGGATCGTGGGACCATGAACGTGTGGGACTGTGCAGCGGCCGTGGCCAGAACATGCATTGCTCAGCAGCACGGTGGGGGTGTGGAGCCGGGGCTGGCCCCCGTCCCCGTGGAAGTTCGGGTAGACCTTCGGGTAAACCGGGCCTCCTACACATTCCTTCGTAAGGCACTCCAGAGCAGTGCGGACAGCCCCCTGCGGATCTGCTGCCGGGACCTCCGGGCTGAAGATCTGCCCATTCACAACACTATGGCCCTGCTGGAGGTTTTGGATGCGGGCTGCCTGCGCCGTATAGACCTGCGCTTCAATAACCTGGGGTTGCGTGGCCTGTCTGTCATTATCCCACACGTGGCCCACTTTCACCACCTAGCTAGCCTGAGACTGCATTACGTGCATGGGGACTCAAGGCAGGCTTCCGTGGATGGTCTGGATAACTTTCGCTACTTTCTGGCTCAGATGGGCCGCTTCATCTGTCTTCGGGAGCTCAGCATTGGCTCTTCTCTCCTTTCCGGCAGGCTGGATCAACTGCTCAGGTGAGTAGGCCCTCCCATTGCTCTGTCCCTTCTCTGTGTGAGGACCTTCTCCTTGGCCTTGCCGCCCATGACCCCTCTGTAACCCCTTTGTCCCCGCAGCACCCTGAAGAGGCCCCTGGAAAGCCTAGAACTGGGCTTCTGTGCACTGTTACCTGAGGACCTACACTTCCTGGCTCAGAGCTCTCACGCTGCCCACCTTAAAAAGCTGGATCTGAGCGGCAACGACTTGTCAGGGGACCAGCTGACCCCCTTCCAGGGTCTGCTGCAGGCTGTGGCGGCCACACTGCTGCATCTTGAGCTGACCGAGTGCCATCTTGCTGATGCTCAGCTCTTGGCCACACTGCCCACCCTGACTCGCTGTGCCAGCCTCCGCTACCTTTGTCTCTATGGCAATCCTTTGTCTACGGCAGGACTTAAAGAGCTGCTTCAGGACTCCGCGGTACAGGCTGAGCTGCGCACTGTGGTGCACCCCTTCCCTGTAGACTGCTATGAGGGCCTTCCTTGGCCGCCACCTGTCTCTATCCTTCTGAAAGCCTCCATCAATGAGGAGAAGTTTGCCCGTGTAGAGGCTGAGTTGCACCAGCTGCTGTTAGCTTCGGGCCGTGCCCATGTACTCTGGACCACAGACATCCATGGGCGGCTGGCTGCAGACTATTTCAGCCTCTGATCTCTAGGGTTTGGGTGAGGTCAAGAGCCTTTGGGACCCTGCAGGAGGCCTGACACAAAGGCCCTCACCTTAGGTTTCCTGCAGAGTTTGCCTTGCTCCTGGGTATACCTTGAGTCACCTCTGCTTTCTGCAGTGCCCTTCACCTGCGCCCAGGATCTGGGTGACTTGGTGTTTCAGGCCTGTGCCCCGCTGCTCTGTAGGGCTGCACTTGACGGCTCTTCTAGGCTGCAGCCCCTCTGCAGGAAACAGCAGCACATCCCATACCCTTAGCAGGAGTGCAATGCCTTAAGGCAGATGTATGCAGATCTGCCTCGGGCGGTTTGGGAGTGCCCCATGCAGTCTGGGGCCTTACACCGTGTACCCTGCCTAGCACCCGAGGCACCCTGTTACCTGGCTCTGGAAGGTGTGAGCAAGGTACAAACGTGCAGTATCTGGAATGTGAGTTTATGGCTCTGTTGGGTTTTATGTGTCCTATATGGATGGGAAAGACTTGCCTGCATTTCTAGTGTTGTCTTATGGCCAGTTGTCAAGTGTCATCCAGTCTCCTGCCTGTCATCCTCACTAGGTTATCCCACTATTGCTACTGTCCAGAGCTAGGGTGAGTCGCTAGAGCTGGCGGCTGGGACCACCTTAGCCACAGCCCGCATCATTCACAGACCCACTACCGGCTCCAACACAGCGCCTTGGCGCGGCTTCTACTTTACTTTGGGCATGCGCGAGCTGCACCGGCCAATCCCCAGTGCTCACGTCATTGATACGCGCAGGCTCAGCAATGGATCTCATAGGCCACACGTGGAGGGAGGCGTAGCCCAGACATGAGCCCCTCGGGAGGGTTGTGTTCAGGCGGCTCCTCTGGCGGTATCTCTGCGAAGAGGGGTTTGGACCGGTCAATGACGAACATCTCGTGTCCGCGTTCATCTCGGAGCTCCTCGAGCTGCGCAAAAGTGCAAGGTCCATCGGAATAGTCATTGACAAACAGAGCGCCCTCCCCCGGCGGCGCTGGCACCTTTTTCCGCCGGCGTCGGCGTCTGCAGATCATGGCTGCCAAGAGCAGCGCAGTGAGTGCCAGCAGCGCGATGGCTGCTGCGATCGCCGTCTGCGTTGCTAGGCCCAGGGCTCGGAAGGCCATGCTGCCTGCCTCGTGCCGGGGCTCATGCCCCACAGGGCGCGTAGCCGGGACTTGCGGCGCGGGTAGCGGCTGGGACTGCTGCCGGGACGCGTTGACCAGGAGATGAAAGGGCACACGCACTTTGCCACCCGCATTGGCGGCTTCGCACTCGTACTTGCCTGCGTGGGCCAGGCTGATGTTGGTGAGGAAGAGCATGCCGCTGCCGGTGTCCCGGGTCGCGTGGCCGCCCAGGCCTGGCGGCCCACCTTCCAGCCGGGCCTGCGCTTGAGGCTTGCCATCGCGAGGCTGGGGCACCTTTCTCCAGACCACCAGCGGCTGTGGGTAACCTGAGGCCTGGCAGGCTACGTGCAGGTCCTCCCCTAGGTTGGCCGTGTGCTCCGCGGGCTCCACGTTCACGGAAGGAGGGATGCAGATGAGGCTGCCTCCAGATACTTCTAGGAGACTCTGTAGGGCCAGGCGTGGGGGCTCCGCGCACATGATCTTCTTGTCTCTGGAGCTCAGCAGCCGGCGGCCCCCCTCTTTGATCCAAGAGCCCAGCCAGTGAAGGGCACAGTCACAGCGCCATGGGTTCTCTGTGTAGGGCAGAATACAGCCTAGGTAGACGCGTCCTGCTAATCCAGACGGAAGCCCTTTCCCACCTCTTACAGATGCCTACAGAGTCTAGAGTGCCAGAGCCCTAATCCCCTCTTCCCTGTCTTCAAGTTCCTGAAAAAGCATCAGTCTGAAGTTCCAGTTTCACAAGCCTCCATGTCCTTGCACATCCGTGCAAGCACTGAACCCCTGTTCTCAAGTGAGCACTCTCCAATTCTGTCCCCCTCTGACGACAAGTTGTAAGGGCACCAGTGCTCCACAGGGAGAGGTCCAGGACAGCCAGGGCTACACAGAGAAACCCTGGCTTGAAAATCCAAAAATAAAGCCTTGCTTCTGTTAAGTTACTCTATGGAGCTTGTGATTTCCTTAACCAGGGAGGGAGGGAGGGCCCTGAGCTGTTACTCTACCAGCACTCCTGGTGGTCCTTTGCCATGTCTGAAGGTTCTGTTGTGGCCCTGCCCAGGGAGTGCCATGGTGAAGCAGGGCAGAAAGGTAAGATTATAGGGGCACAGGAAGGGAGGCAAGTCCCCACAGAATCTGGTTGAAGCTTCTCACCAAGTGAGAATCAAGGATTACAGCACAATTAACATTTGCTTGAAGATTGCCAGTGGAACAATATTCCTTTTATATATGACCCTCAAGAATGACCTTACCCTTTTTTTTTTTTTTTTAAATTTCAAAACACTTCTTAATAAGAAATTTTTATTTTCTGAGCATTGTGTTTTGTTTGCATTCACGTCTGAGGGTGTCAGATCCCCTGGAACTGGAGTTACAGGCATGTGGGTGCTGGGATATGAACCCTGGGTTGTCTGGAAAACAGCAAGTGCTCTTACCCACCAAACCATCCCTCTAGCCCGACATTACTCCTTTTGTAGGTAATTTCGGGGGGAGGGGGAACACCCAGACTAAACCTTCGTTTGCAGGAGGGGCTTCTTCCTCTTGTTACCTAGGAATTTGCATTATCTGATGTAACCCTGTCCAAATGCATGGGAACCACTCTAGGAGCTCACTTAAGCTGTCTGTTTTGTTTTCAAGACAGGGTTTCTCAGTATAGCCCTGGCTGTCCTGGAACTTAGTTTTGGGGACCAGGCTGGTCTCAAGCTTAGAGATCTTTCTGCCTCCCAAGTTCTGGAACTAAAGGCTTGTGCCCCATGCCTGGCTCCCTTAGGTTCTTTAACAATCCCTTGACATGGGATTTCTGAAGTCATTTAAAAAAAAACAAAAGTCTATATGGCTATTGTAAAGACAGGTATTTGTGACTTTGTAAGGCCTACACGGACACCTGGGTGCTTCCACAGCACCTGTCCTAACGCTGATGTTTCAAATCTATGTTAATGTCCACTCCAATAAATCTGACATCTTGTGGATCCCGAAATTTTTTTTCTGCGGTGAAGTGAAGAACCGGGCTCTTCCTGAGTGAGAGACTCCCCAGGCTAGAAGTGGCCACAGTGTGAAGCTGACAGTAGGAAGCTCCTGTGTACCTAAGCCTGCTTCTCCCTACTGGGGCAGCTGTGGACCAAGAAGAGTTACCTGTGAGGCGCAGGACTTGCAGGCTGCTCAGAGGCTGCAGGGCCTCTCTGCTGATGGTGCCCAGTTGATTCCTGCTGAGGTCTAGCAGGGCCAGGGAGGAAAGGCCGGCCAGGGCCTGGTCCTCCAGCAATTCGATGCTGTTTTCTTGAAGATGCAGCTCCTGCAGTCGCTGAAGTAGGGACAGCGGATCATCAGGGAAAAGGGCCATGGGAAGCTAGACAAGGTTGACTTCTCTCCCCCAACCCCTCCCGCCAGTACGGCGGTTATCGAGAGCCCAGCAAGATCCCGCACTTTGGGCCTTTGTCGCTCACCGGTAGGTGCAAGAAGGTGAAATCCAGCAGCTTCGCCAGCTGGTTTCCAGCCAGGTAAAGCACGCGCAGCTGGACCAAGCCCACAAACGCACCGCCCCGCAATCCCCGAAGCCGGTTGCCGGTGAGCGCCAGTTCAAGCAGGCGCGGCTGTGCGCGGAAGGCGCCCGACTCCAGCGCTCGCAGGGTGTTGTTGTGCAGGTAGAGGTGGCGTAGGGCAGCGAGCGGTGCCAGGGCTCCTTGCTCCAGGTGCGCGATGCTATTGTCTTGCAGGAACAGCGTCTGGGGGCCGGGGGGACGAGAAGATCGCTTCACTGTGGGGAATGGCACTTCCAAGGAGCACCCCCTCCCGCTTGCCTGCCTCTGCACCCTAGGGACCTTCCACTGCACCTCTGGTGTCCACACCGTCTCTTCCTTTACGGCGGGCACTTGTAGCCCACCACTTCAATGCAAGGCCCTCCTCCAGTCCCGCACAGTGCCCACCTGCGTCCCGGGGGGGATTCCCGGTGGGACGACGCGCAACCGCAGGGCGCCGCACTCCACGGTGGCGCTGTAGCAGCGGCAGGCGGCGGGACAGCCAGTGGCACGCGGGAGTCCGGGCAGCAGCGGCAGCGGCAGCAACCCCAGCAGTAGCGGAAGCAGCGAGGGGGCCTCCGGGGCCATTTCCGAAGAGCCCCACCGGGAAGCTGTGGCTTCCCTAGGGAATGGACCCGGATGGGATGCGCCTCCTGAAACAGGGTTAGCAAGCCAGTGCTAACATGATCCAGCCAGCGCAGGAGCAGGGATGTCGTGCCAGGTTTGGTGGGCTATGCTCTTAACCTAGACACCGGGGAGGCTGGGGCGGCAGGATTGTTGTAAGCTCAAGGCCAGGCGGAAGCTCTGTTCCAGGCCGGTGTGGCTGGACTACAGTGAGACTTAGCATCCAGGGGCCCGGGAGGTGGCAGTGCAGCCTTTAATCCCAGAATTTACTTGGGAGGCAGAGGCAGGCAGATATCCATTAGTTCTACAGCGTGTGTTCCAAGGACAGCCAAGGCTATACAGAGGAACCCTGTTTCGAAAAACCAACGAAACAAGAACCAAACAACCCCCAAACCACCAGCACTCAGGAGGCAGAGGAGGGTGGCTCTCTAAGTTGAGGCCAGACTGACCTATATAGTGAATGCCTGGTTGGTCATGGTGTGCAGCTGGAGAGATGGTTCAGAAGTTAAGAGCGCTGGCTGCTCTTCCAAAGGTCCCGAGTTCAATTCTCTCCCAACCACACAGTGGCTCGCAACCATCTATAATGAGATCTGGTGCCCTCTTCTGGCATGCAGGTGTACACGCAGACAGAACACTGTATACATAATAAATAAATAAATAGATATTTTTCTCTTGGTAAAGCCTGTATGAGGGCAGCAAGATGGCCGCACAAGTAAAGGCAGGAATAAAGTCTGGCAAGTCTGAGGACCTAAGCTGCGTCTGCGTCTATTAAACCCACGTGAAGGTGGAAGGAGAAAAACGATTCCACAAAGTGTCCTTTGACTTCTGGGGTTGTTCCCCCGACCCATGAATGCACACACTTTTTATAAAGTAAATAAACTCCAAAAAACAAAAACACATTCAGAAAGGCAAGGGGATGGACATCAGAAGAGGGAGAAAACAGGGAACGGGACAGGAGCCTACCACAGAGGGCCTTTGAAAGGCTCTACCCAGCAGGTATCAAGGCAGATGCTGAGACTTATGGCCAACCTTTGGGCAGAGTGCAGGGAATCTTATGAAAGAAGTAGGAAATAGTAAGACCTGGAGAGGACAGGAGCTCCACAAGGAGAGCAACAAAACCAAAAAAATCTAGGCACAGGGATCTTTTCTGAGACTGATACTCCAACCAAGGACTATTCATAGAGATAACCTAGAACCCCTGCACAGATGTAGCCCATGGCAGCTCAGTGTCCAAGTGGGTTCCATTGTAATGGGACTGT